ACCACGGAATATAGAATACAATGGAAGTAGCTTGAAACAATATTTCTGCCAGAACCGGTGTCGCCAAACTAATACATTTATAATTTACTCATACTATAAATCGGAAATTACGATTGGTTAGAAAAAAAATGGGCGTAAACGAAATGCAAAAAAAATATCATACGATATGCAACTTTAAAACCAATGTACTATAAATCAAAATAAAAAAGTATGTTTTGGACTACCAAGTACCGCCATTCGTCGCTAGATGGCGTTTAACAATGCCATCTAGCGACGAAAAGTGGTACTTGGTTTGAACTTTAACGTTGTAAGAATAAAGGTGATATTTGAATGGCTTATCACTGGCTCGAATGCGGGTCTCTACTCAGATAGTGATGTAGGATAATTCGATAAAAATAATATCGATAATATGAAAATGTGTTTTAAAAATAATATGAAAAAAAATATTGACTGCTATAGTGTGACAGTATTAAAATAATAAAATTAATATGTCGTTGATAACTTTTTAAACGTAACAAAAAAGGGTAAGTATTTATTTACATGTAAATCAAAAACCATTTTGTTCGTATTTTTTATTAGTTTCTTTTTTCAAAAAATCATTTTTTTTATTTCACATAGGCAATATAAGTAACAACTATTACATAAATTTTTACAAACTTTATATGGATAATGTGATAAATGAGAGGGATGGCGATAAGGATGACGGTGCTGATCTGCTCCGTGAAGTGAAGGTTGCTTCCAATCACGTCGGGGTCACCACTAAAATAATAATAAAAAAATAATCTAAATAAATGTTACATTACACTTGCATCGATATCAATCGATAAATTCAATATGTGATTTGACTACATAACTATTTGAGTAGCGTAGAACTGGCGAGAATGTTCTATTGAATGGAATAAATCCAAAATAAACTTTATCTTGAAGGCGTAAGGTTGATTTTGACTAACCGTTTTAGTAAATAATATTATTTTATTAACTGTTTTTGTAAATTGAAATAAAATAAGATTTCTACAAGAAAACAATAAAAAATTGTACTTACCGATGATACGGAACACCTCCATTTTTACGATTTTTCGGCTGCTATCATTTTTACACGCCAAAACGGAACAAAACGGCATAGTTGAGGAAATATGTGTTTGACACGAGACTAGCAACTCGACGCCATGTTCGAACGAGACTGAACTCAAATTTGCCTCGAGTAAGCAGTACACAGCTTAGCTGTGGCACGCGTGCCACGCCTACTTACTACTTCCATTGTATTCTATATTCCGTGCTTGACAGCAACTCTTGACAACAGACACAATATTATTTTTCTACTTTCCAAACTTCTTAGTAATCGTAAGCTCAGAAGATAAGAAATTAAAACGATAGAACCGTGCACGGTTATTCTTTAATGGATACTCAAACTGACAGGACATAAGGAACTTATATTTTACCTGTGCACATGAACATGATCAGTGCACGATTTAATTACATACTATACAGGTTTAGGAAATTGAAATATCGTAAAAATATGTGCAATGAATCGTAAAGCCGTTATACATCGTAAATTTAAACGTGTCGGTCAAAGTTGTAGTTAAGATCAGAATAAATTAAATCGAGGCAATCAAGTAATAATAACCTTTAAGTATATTTTTAAAGACTGAAAAAGAAACAACATTTTTTATTTATTTTGGTTACAATATTTTTGTTTCGGGAAGAAACAACTCCCCGAAACTAATAATGCAATCAAACAGTGATCCGAAACTCTCGATTGCCAAACGAAACGCATTCACATTACATCACCACTGACAATAAAGAATATTAATCAGTTTTCAACTCCTAAAATAGTTGAAGTATGCTTACCGAAATGCGAAGCCGGGTTCTTAGTACCAATGGGTGGATTTATAGGAGCTGGTGGCAAGTTGAACGGCCGGCCACCAGCTGTTTGTGGAGATGACGGCGATGCCGGTGGAGATCTGAAACGTATACCGTAAAATTATGAGATACTTGCTTGGAATGCTTAAAAGACTGACTGAAAGACGAAATAAAACGCACTAATATTTCAGAACCCTAAAGGCAATTACTAAACTTCTATAAAAATTAAAGATAACGAGTTCACAGAGTATTCGCACCTCTTATGCTACACTAGCGCCACCTAGTAAGCGCAAATATTTAAAGATCATTAATTTTCGATGAAAATTCTTAACATTCGTTTTTTTCTAAGATTTTAATATTGAACATCTTATAAGGCGGCTCCATAAACTCACCTAGGTACCCTCATACTCTGAGTTCGTCCAGCGATTTTGCCGTTAGTGATCAGTTTCTTAGGCGGGGGCGAAGGTCTAGTGTCAATGTTGGGAGCCGGGGCTAACTGTGGGGGCTTGGGTGCTAGGTTGGGCTTCCCGTGGCTAACTCGAGGTCTGTCACAGAGATCCGACGTTGAAAGCGAAGACGCTGGTGCGGGAGTCGGTGATGATGATGATGAGAGGGAGGTCATACTCCCACCTGTAATAAATAACATTATATTGGTTGAGGTTGTTGAAAATTAAGACTGTTTTTTTTTATATTTGATGGGTCGACGTTTGACCACTATCTCGCCTGGAGGTAAGCGATGATGCGGGCTACGATGGAGCACGTCGTCCTATAAGCAACCTAGTTTTAGTTTCATACACCGACAATTTCCGAATACAGAGTAACTTCCAAACGGGGATTAGGTTAGATCTCCAAATAGAAAACTACCACTAAAATTATGTGAATGACGAGGAACTCGAACGCACTTTGACGGCTGTATTTACGACTTTCTGTACTCACCCAGTGCGCCCTGTCCAGTCGCATGTAGCGAGCTCTTATTCCTGTGCAGCGTGGAGGCGACATGAGGAGTAATCACTTGTTCCGAGTTTTGTTGTTGAAGACTGCTGATGCGGTCCAGTACCGAGTTCGTTGTCAGCACCGAATCTGATGAACTCTGCAATAGGTTGAACGAAAATGGTTAATAACCACCATTGTTGTTTCATTTAGGTTTAATACCTAATAGTTACGACATTGGGATAATACGATGTTCCTGATTATTTTCTTCAATACGAGTCATGAATGAGTGAATCGATTTATATAATCTCTGATCTGAACGTCTAAAAAATCATCAATATTGATTATAAGTCTCCCCATCTCCGGTGTGTTTCCGTAAAACTAACCCAAAATGATCTTGGGACCAACCATTTGCGCTTGACGACAATCCACATTATCAAACAAAGACCAACTATTAACAACCCACCTACAGATTACAAACTTTTTTACATAAACTTCCTATATCTATAAATAAATAAAACAATAGCACTTTTTATGTGTCATCTGTGACCGCGGGAAACAGTCTATGCTAGGCACAAGTTGTTTATGACTTGCATTGGCTGGGAGCCAGGAAAGGCAGACACGAAGTTACTTTATGTAGAGAATAACTAACATGGAAGGCCGCTTGTGTATTATAGGACCTCTAAAACGTGGGAGGGACCAAAATGTTCTATTATCTGAAACTATGCTTTTAAAAAAACTGTTACTGTATTTGTTTTTGTCTATGCCTGTGTCTTTCCTCGCGAGGTATGCGGGCTAGGGATGTATAATTGTGACGTTTAGATATAGCGATTCAAATGTCTTCTTTTCGTCGTCTTTATACGAAATCCAATGCTGAGAAGGACAATTGTCGGTTTTGGTGCTTAACTCGTCGAGTACCGTCATTATAGACACAATTATAGAACAATAGGTTGCGGTCACCGGTGACCGCTTGGTGTTTGACACTTTAACTAGACACTTAGCCAAATTTTCATAAACAAATATTATGTCAAGTTAGCTAGCCTTCTAGGCAAAATATTTCTATACATTTAGGTACATCATTTCAGCGTCACAGGAAAATCAATTTTACATTAACCGCCATTATAAAACCACATTTTAAAATAATTATTAGACCATGTTATATGTAACTATTTACGGAAACCTTAGCACAATATTTCCAAACAGGATGATGCGGAAACTAATTTTTAATTAGGTAAAAATCAATTTAAAGATATTACCATTCGTCATTAACCACAGTTCAAAATGTGTAAGTAACTAAGGAAAACTGATCCCTATAGTTGAAATTAATCACGCTACATATTTGAAAACGCAGAGTTATTTTTTACACCAAATATAAAACTACGCTGGCGCGGTTTCACCAGATGCTGATGTCCTATTGGTCTCTGAGGCAACAAGTTTGTTTCACGTTTATAGTAATCGAAACGAGTGCGTGTTCGGCACTCTGATTGGCCGGCTCCAATGATCTAACCAATCGGAGCGCCACAGGCAGTCAACTCGCACTAAGGCCTCTGAGCGATATTCGCAAACTTCCTCAATAAATGTACAATCCATTGTTTAAATGCAAAATTAGTTCAAGAGATTGGCACGTTCACAGCACCGTCTTTACCATAAGGGCACTCGGGATCCGTGGCCAGGGCTCCCATCCCCAGGGGGCCCCGATGTCGCGGCTTCTATTCGCGTACGGAGCAAATCTTTGTGTGATCTACAAATTGTTGTTTCTTGTATGTTTGTAAATGCACCCACAATACAGGAGATAATCCTAGTGTGATTCAATGTAAAAAAGAGATATTACACAAGGGCCCCGTATTATTGCGTGCGTAAGGGCCCCAGTGTAGTCTAAGACGGCCCAGCACGTTCGAACAAACTTAAGCTTAGATCTGTTACACTTGTTAATAAGGATAATAGGGTAGATGACTAATTTTTATTTAGATGTCCGTCTGGTAGATAATTTTAAAACATTACACACGTAGGTATTTTTTATTTTTTTACAGAAACGAATACTTTTTACGACGGCACTTCTATGTACATTTTATACGTAGAAATGACGTTTTAGCCCCCACTCCTAAACTTTGATTCGTTATATCTAAGTATCATTTTATTATACAGCAAAATAAAAAAATACGTGTCTAATATTTTTTCATTATCTAACTGACGGGGTAATTAGATTTTTAATTTTCTTACTCTGTCAACTACCCAATTCTGAAACATGTTAAAATCTTCCCGTTACGGGATATCGATGAAAAATAATTGCGATTATAAATAAACAATGGTCTGATATAATTGTTATCTGTGAGTCAGGCATTGCGAAAGTGACTGCTCGACAACGCCTGCCTACGTAAATGTGAAGAGGTCACATTCAATGTGACAGCGGATAAATAAAACCGAATATCAAATAATCATTGATCATTTTTTCATCATTAATATCATCATGAGTGTGGGAGAGCCATACTACGGCACGAATGGGCCGGCTCAACCGGAGTGATACCACGACCTCACGGGCAAAATATTACTGGGTTTTTAAAAATACTCAGTAGTAGCACGGAGTCTGGAATTGTGTATACCGATATGGCAATAGACTCACCCCCTATTACATGGGACTCATCATAAATAGTGGAAAGTGGGTGTTACATTTAACAGTGGCATTAAGTGCCGTAATGTGCACCTCTGCCTACCCCTTCGGGGATAAAAGGCGTGATGTTGTGAGTAAAATTATCATAAATAATAACTAAGCTGTCTCAGTTATCATTTAATTAAATATAATTATAGAGATTGTATTAAGTTATGGTGCATCTCTTTGGGAGGTAAATTTTAAATACTTGGTACATACTTTTTTTTTTGTGGGGGGAAAATCATCCAATGACTTCTCCCGCCCGGGTGAAACGGGAGGGAGTGTCAGACTCTTACTGACTAAAAACCACCCCGTTCCTACTCCTGCACTTCGAGCCGGAGCCCCGGCAACCCGTTAAGTCTTCCGCGGCTCCGTACTTGGTACATACTAGATCTCACTTGGTACATACTAGATCTCATTATAAAGTAAGGACTGCCGTTATACATTTCTATAGACCCCAAAAGTTCTAAGGATCATCGACAAGATCTTAAAATATGTTGTGTAGGTAGTATTTATATGAATTTTCTCATAATATTTTAAAATCCCCTATCACGTACCTACTTGTAGAAGGTTATCAAACAATGTCATTCCAAAACAATAAAATACAGATTAAGCTGTGTACGCATTGCCGTTTAACAAACAAATGTGTTAACTATTAATCAGTTTCGGTATTTGTAATCATAAGAACTTAAATACAATGCTACATAAAAATGTAATTTCGCAAAAACGTTTCTTAGACCTGTATCTGCCAGTAGGAACAGAATTCATATTTAATCACGACCGTCATTAATATTTTACAGATAGGCTTTTCCCAAGCGTTAAGCCCTGTTGTGATGGCCTCTTTCTTGTCTAATCAGCGACTTGTTTCAGATTTACATTATGAATATAAATTATATTTTGTTAGCAGTTGTTTGAAGGACTGTGATAGAATGTTCACGACTGTTTAAGTTATCCATTTGTGTTTCAGTCGATTGCAATTTGTATTCAGCGAAAAATCTAGAAACTCAATTTGATAATCCATATTAAACTACCTAAGTTACCGAATCGTAAATGTCATCAATTAAAGGCATGACTTCTAATAATAAATCATTCGAATAAAAGGAAACAGAGGCAAAAAAGCATCGCAATGTTTTTTTAAATCAAATAAAGACGTCATACTCTTAAGATGACCAGTAAATTAAAACTTCTAAGCAAAGAATCTATTGTTTAGTACGTGAGAACTTATAGCAAACTGGTTTATACCCATACTAATAAGGTAGAATATTCCACGACAATCAAAACAGAAAACCATACATAGTTGGTAGATCATTATGCATTATAGATCGCTGGCAGTCAGACCTAACCCAACCCAACCGAACCCTGCAACTAATTACCAGTCCTAACACAATCACACAAGACATGTTTTCCGGTGAATCATTTGTAATAGTACCTAATGACTCAGTGATGACTCAAATGATTCCTTATTGACACTGTTTGCAAGAGAAACACAGGTTACTTCCATATCAAGGTCGGTTGTGTGGTAATGGCGTTGAATCACCTTAACTGTGACCTATGGTTGACCACTGAACGTATACCAGGAACAAAATACTTCCACGCAAGTTAATTACGAACGTGTGGTCTTGAATGAAATGAATCAGAAAACGTAAGCGGAACAGCTGAGATAGAAGGTCCTGCTGTTTGTCGAGAGGATAATTGAAACTACAGATACAGTCTGGGCAGATGTAAATGGGATACTATTCTTAGGTTTCACGAAACAGCACTTGGTGTTTGCTGCTCCGTCTATGTAAAGAAAAAACCTCGGAACGGGTTTCCACATTAACCTTCTCGTATGATCAGAGTGTAGTTGGGATTTTTGGAAAACTTATCATAATGCTAAGATAACAATGTTTCATGACTACTCTCATTCTAGCGGATGTAGCAAAATAACTTAGATATAAACAGACCATGTTGTAGTGAGAACAAGTGATGCTGGCGTTGATATAAGAAAGATTCCGAAATCACGATCGAAAGAAGTCATCAAACTTAGATACATTATCAATGCAGTTAGCAAATCTACGATAAAGGAAGCAGAATTGCTAAGGAAGGATGGTAGGTATATCTATAAAATCAAGGAAAAAATACCAATAATTGAACAAGCACTTACAATCGACTTATTTACACAATATATGTGAGTCAGGAACTATTTACGCGGTTGTTATCTTTATTATTTTATCAAAATTATGATAGAGGAACGCGCATTAATAGTTTCTTTACATGTTGTTGATAAGTCCATTAGAAGTTTACAGTTTAAGGAAAAGATATTTAGTATCTAGCGAGGCCTAATTCTTATGAGTCAGCACTTAGATAAGTCTAAGTACGTAAATCGTGTACTTCAGTCATATTCATTTTATGATATTTGAAACCGAAAAGTATTGTTTCAGAGACAATCTGTCGGGAAGTCCGTTAATTTGAGAAATACAATCAATGATTTATGACTGCATGTAACATCAAGGAAATTAAGAACGATAATGATG